CAGCGAGGAGGCTGAAGAAGATGTGGTGCCAGAGGCAGGGATTCAGTCAGGGCCTTCAGAACCTCCAGAGGCTCCTTTAAGTGAAGAGGATAAAGAGGAGGAGCTTCTTCTCAATGCACAGCTCAGCCTTTGGCAGAGCTGCCAAAAGGCAAGAGTGGTTCCTTAGGAGGAGGTCTCCTCGAGAGTAAGGCTTGGGGCTAATTGGCTACTCCCTTAGCCTATTTAAGAAAGAATGCAGCTTGCAACAAGCTGCAGGAAACAACTTTAGTTTGCTAACCATCGCATTGGGATTTCTCTGCAACCTTGCTTCTGGGCTTTCTGCCAACTCCAGTAAGATTCTGACTATCTTATCTGTGGAATTCTGGCAGGCTGTTAAGAACGCTTATTAACAGCCGGCATTTGCTAAAACTGTGTTATTTGAGTAAACTAAGTTTTGTTCAGTTTGTGTGTGCTGTGTTCTTTGGGATCTGTAGCTGGGGTAGAACAAGCTCCGCTGTGAATGCAGGGAGAAAAGTTCGGATTCTCTCTGCACAGCATTTAACGTGGCTGCTTCTCACTTCCTTCTCATGTTTGCTCTGTGTGTATGAGCCTGAGAAGGAGGTGAGAAGCAGCCACGTTGAATGCTGCGGCAGAGAGAAGCTGAACTTTTCTCCCTCCCTTCACAGTGGAGCTGCTCAGAAGGCAGCCAAAAATGACCACCGGTGGCTGGAGGCTTCTTGGCACAAAAGGCAGCCAAGCCTCACTGTCCTCCACAAGACACGAAGGTAGGTGAGCGAGGCGGAGGGTGAACAGGTGGCAAATGCATGGTGGTTCTGGGGCAAAGCCGGAGCTGGGGAATGGCACATTCCCTGACCCAGCTGAGGTGGGTGGCTAGCAGGCAGCGGCTCTGGGGCAAGGCCGGAGCTGGGGAATGGCACATTTCCCAACCCGGCCAAGGCAGGTGGTGGCTCCAGGGCCTTGGGGAATGGCACGTCCCTGGGCCCAGCCTCCAACTCAAGGCAAAGGATGAGTGGGCAACATGCATTGCTTTGGTGAGCTGAGCAGAGCAGGCGAGGTGAAGTGACTGGCAAGGCAAGTAGCTGGGCAAGTAGCTGGGATGGGCGGGGTGATTGTTGAGTGGGTGAGCAGGACAAGTGAGCGTTAAGTGGGTGAGAGAGTGTTGAGTGGGTGAACGGAGCGAGCAAGCGGTGACCGGGCAGGGGGCAGGGCCAGCCAGAGGTCGCTACGGTTTGGCGACCCAGGCCAAATTTTTCTTACTGGTTCGCCTGAACCGGTGCGAACTGGCTGAATACCACCTCTGAAGAGGGCACTTAGGAATGATAGTGGCAACTATCCAAACATTTCCATGTTGCACAGATCAACCAAATGTCTTGCAGTATCGATGACAGAGAGAATGGAAAATTCCTCACATTAAAAAAATCCATGCAGATCTATTAGTCAATGTTAGTTGTTCTTCTACTCCAGCAGTGATCTTTGGCATTTATTAGACCAAAGCTAACCAGAAGATGATATATTGATAAACAGGAAATACAAAGTTTCTGTGCTTTTAGAACACCAAGACCAACTGGACAAAATATCTAGCCAAGCATGTGTCCCGCTGTATGCTTGAGGCCAGATACTAATTAGGAAAAGCCTATTATCATAATGGGAGATAAGAAATCTAGGTAGTCTTGTGCTATGCCATAAATCACCTTAACCTGCTCAGTGAGAAAGACTGTTGCGCTGCAGAGCGGTTGGTATATTAGGAGGTTCTTGTGGTGCTATATAGCCATCTTAATGCAGCAACATATATTCAAAATTAGTAGCCTGTTGGTTTGAGCTCCTAGTCATAGATAAATTTAATTTGGCTGTAGTCCACAAATGTTTATGTCACAATTCATTAGTTTTCAAGGAGCGACCACATGACTTTTGCTGCGATAACATTACATGGATACCCTTCTGGAATTAATTAATTATTATGTTTCCCCGTACCCTATTACATTAACATTCTGCCATTAAACTGAAAGCTGAGTTTACAAAATAACAGTATTATGGCTTTAATTTCTGTGATTGTCTATTTGTGCAAATATCTTAGCAATTATATTTTAATGCACTTTGTTATCAGTTGTACTAACTAATTAGTATTCTCAATGAAATGTATCCTAAAATATATTTGTAATACAGTTGTAAAGCAGTCAATTAAGTTTTAGGATTCTCATATGATACATAGCATGGTCTATTTGTACTTTCTTTACAATAAAAATGAAGTATGAATTACTGCTATATTTTAAACAGTGATGTTTAGAAAACTAAGAATTATGTTGAAGTAGTTTTCAACTACTAACAACACACAAATCTTCTCCATAATGATCTATCCCTAAACTGATATCCCATATCTTTCAAAAGTGCACTTATTGCCCTTGTAATTAAGTCCATCCATCTTGCTGCTGCATATCCTCTTCCCTTTACTTCCGCTTTTTCCAACATCAGAGACCTTTCTATATCTTTGCATAATGTGTATAAATTATGCAGTCTTGTTTAAAATATCATTTCTGCCATTAATTCACTGGTTTGCTTTTGAAATTCATTTACTAAATTTTAGATTCAGGTTTTCCATCTGCAGAAGATAAATATTAATATATTGTTCTTTCTCACAGCATTTTTATAAATTTCTCACAGCATTTCTATAAATTAACTAGAAAATATTTTTTATAAATAATTTTATTTTCTTAATACCATTTCCCCTGAAAATAAGACCTATCCCAAAAGTAAGCTCTGGCATGTTTTTACACATGCACCTAATATAAGCCCTATCCACAAAATAAGGCCTGCTTAAGAGCTTGCGCAGCCGCCTGCCCACCCATTCCATCTGCTTGCTTGTGGTGCCACAGCCAAGAGGTGATGGAGCTGCCCCACATGCCCTGTAGCCCTGTTACCTCAATGCCCCTGCAGCCAGGTCACCTACACCACAACAACTGCCTTGCTTTGCAGCAGCAGCTCCATCAATCCCATCCAGCAGGACCCTGCATGGCCGCCGGCCCACTTCTTCTGTTTGCTCATGGCCACAATGGAGCAGGAGGTCGAGCGATGCATTGGTGCTGTGGTCACAAGTTGGGGTAGTGGTGGAGCTGCCCCATGCGCCCTGCACCAGCTTACCTCAGGGCCCCTGCAGCCAGGCCAGGCCCTGACAACTGCCTTGCTGTGGCAGCACCTACAGCCATGTGCAACAGGGGCCCACATGGCTGCTGGCCCACTTCTACTTGCTCATGGCCGCAATGGAGCAGGAGGCCGAGGGTGTGCTGGTGCCATAGCCACAAGGCAAGACAGGTGTCAGAGTTTGGTTGGCCTGGCTGCGGGGGCCCTAAGGTAAGCTGATGTGGGGTGCATGGGGCAACTCCACCACCACCCCACTTGTGGCCACAGCACTGGCTCATTGCTTGTCCTCTTGTTCCATTGTGGCCATGAGCAAGCAGAAGAAGTGGGCCAGCAGCCACGCAGAGTCCTGCTGGATGGGGCTGATGGAGCCGCTGCTGCAAAGTAAGGCAGTTGTTGGGGCGTAGGTGGCCTGTCTGCGGGGGTGTTGAGGTAAGCCGGGGTACTTCCATTTATCCTGCCACACGGCAACAGCGACCCTAATGTGCCGCACGGCCTGCCCCACCATGAGCAAGCAGAACAAGTGGGCCTCCCGTACATGGAAATAAGACACACCTGAAAATAAGCCCTAATGCTTATTTTGGGGCCCAAAAGAAAATAAGACCTGGTCTTATTTTGGGGGAAACATGAGAACTAAAATAACACTGTTCTGTGTTCTCATAAGATCCAGACATTTTGAACCTGGTACTCTGCTAATATGATGGCTGGCCGAATTTATTTGAAGAGTGCCATTTATTATTATTATTAAATTTATTTGCAGCCCATCTTATGGTTCGAGATGACTCTGCATCGCATTTAGAATCTGCTGATGTATAATCCCCATAATAAGTTTGTATTGTCATCAATGCCTGTCCAAAAGAGAATTTTTAAATGTTTTTTAAAATTACAGCAGAGATTAGGATTATCAACTCATCTGAGAGTATATCCCAGAGAAGAGCAACTACATCAAAGACTCAACCTGTTTGCAAAATAAGAGCATAGCAAAGGTGAAAAAAGTCCACAGATCATCTTGACCAGCTATGAGGGACAGAGGAATCATTTAGAACAGACATGTCAAGCACAAGGCCTGCAATAGATCCAGATTTGGCCTGTGGAGCCACCTGGAGATGTCGAGGGACTGGTCCCTGCTGCCCTGACCACGGCCGATCCCAGCCTGATGCCTCCCAATGCATGCACAGGAGGCAGCAAGTGCGTGGGAAGTAGTGGCATCCAGCAGCAGCAGCCCACCGGCTCCTTGGCTGGCACACTCTGGGGCTCCTCAGCCCACACAGCACAGGTGGGGGCGGGACACTATAACCACTGGGCCCGCCCTCCAAGCAGCAGGTGAAGGCAGACACATGGTGGGGGAGGGACATGATCCGGCCTGCTGGATACGCCGGGTGGCTGCGTGGCCATCTGCCCAGTTCTAGCTGTAGCAGCTGCAGGCAAGCAGATGGTGGGTTTGCGGTGAGGCAGCCTAGCCAGTTGCTGTCACTGCCATGCCATGGTCCCTGCGTGCTTGGTCCCCACTGTCCAACTTCATCCTCCAGCGAGCCTGCTCCCTGCCCTTCCCATTCACTGGGGCCATTTGGGTTGGTTGAGTGGTCTGCAGGCTCGCTAGAGAACAAGGTTGGACAGCGGGGGGCAAGCATGCAGGGGCCATGGCATGGCAGTGACAGTGACTGGCTGGGCTGCCTCACCGCAATGCCACCATCTGTTTTTGCTTGCCCGTGGCCACTACAACTGGGACTGAACTAGATATGACTTCCTGTTAAAGAGATTAACTTCCTGTTGTATTTGGCAAGTAACTGATAAAATATTTGTGGATGTTTGAAATGCAGAAAAATATATTTGGAAAAAAATTCATTTTGTGTATTTTTTCCCTCTAGGATGAATAAAAGATACTTGCAGAAAGCAACAAAAGGAAAACTGCTAATAATAATATTTGTTGTAACACTGTGGGGGAAAATAGCATCTGGGGCAAATCACAACAAAGGTAAGAGGCAACATTCTATGGTATCAATGTGGAAAGACGAAGTGATTTAAAACAGTGTTTCTCAACCTCAGTAGTTTAGTTATGTGTGGACTTCAACTCCCAGAATTCTACAGCAAGCATGCTAATCTAAGGGAAGAAGGAGGAAGGATGGATGGATGGATGGATGGATGGATGGATGGATGGAGGACCAACCCATGGATAATCAGACACTTTTTTAAAATAAATAAATTGTTTGTTTGTGGTTTGGCCAGGATAGAAATCACACTTGAATTTTTTTTTTGTACAAGTTTACTTCAATTTTCTGCAAATTATCCATGAAGACATTTTTATATCAGGATTTCATGAATTTCTCTTTATATCTCAGTTTTTGTCCTTTTCATTTGAAGTTGGTGTACTTTATAAATTAAATAGGCTTATGTAAAAGATTTTATTCATAAAATAACCTTTTTCAAAGAGCACCTGAAAGAGCTATAAATGAGTTCAAGAAAAACCTCAGGGAATACATTCTGTTCTGAAGTGTTCCAATGATTCTGCAGGTACACAGTATAAAAATAAATCTGCTTTCTTGGTAATCTATGAGAGAGTTCTGTTTAAACATCCATAGAATATGGATTTTTTGGCTTTTTCATAATCTATTCATTTTTTATTAGGTCCTCTCTTCAGGGAACAATATCTTTTGATTTATAAATGAATAGAAGGAAGCTCTAAGCGAAAATACATAAGGGTGCTAATTTTAATGCTATGCTTCTGGAATTATATATATCATAGTATATCCATATTTCAGCTTTTTTGGATTACATACAGTCAGGTCCAGAAATATTGGGACATTGACACAATTCTAACATCTTTGGCTCTATACACCACCACAATGGAGCTGGAATGAAACAAACACAATGTGCGTTAACTGCAGACTGTCAGCTTTAATTTGAGGGTATGTACATCCAACTCAGGTGAACGGTGTAGGACTTACAGCAGTTTGCATATGTGCCTCCCACTTGTTAAGGGACCAAAAGTAATGGGACAGAATAATAATCATAAATCAAACTTTCCCCTTCTTAATACTTGGTTGCAAATCCTTTGCAGTCAATCACAGCCTGAAGTCTGGAACGCATAGACATCACCAGACACTGGGTTTCATCCCTGGTGATGCTCTGCCAGGCCTCTACTGCAACTGTCTTCAGTTCCTGCTTGTTCTTGGGGCATTTTCCCTTCAGTTTTGTCTTCAGCAAGTGAAATGCATGCTCAATGGGATTCAGGTCAGGTGATTGACTTGGCCATTGCATAACATTCCACTTCTGTCCCTTCAAAAACTCTTTGGTTGCTTTTGCAGTATGCTTTGGGTCATTGTCCATCTGCACTGTGAAGCGCCGTCCAATGAGTTCTGCAGCATTTGGCTGAATGTGAGCAGATAATATTGCCCGAAACACTTCAGAATTCATCCTGCTGCTTTTGTCAGCAGTCACATCATCAATAAATACAAGAGAACCAGTTCCATTGGCAGCCATACATGCCCACGCCATGACACTACCACCACCATGCTTCACTGATGAGGTGGTATGCTTAGGATCATGAACAATTCCTTTCCTTCTCCATACTCTTCTCTTCCCATCACTCTGGTACAAGTTGATCTTGGTCTCATCTGTCCACAGGATCTTGTTCCAGAACTGTGAAGGCTTTGTTAGATGTTTGGCAAACTCTAATCTGGCCTTCCTGTTTTTGAGGCTCACATCTTGTTTACATCTTGTTACATCTGGTTTACATCTTGTGGTGAACCCTCTGTATTCACTCTGGTGAAGTCTTCTCTTGATTGTTGACTTTGACACACATACACCTACCTCCTGGAGAGTGTTCTTGATCTGGCCAACTATTGTGAAGGGTGTTTTCTTCACCAGGGAAAGAATTCTTCGGTCATCCACCACACTTGTTTTCCGTGGTCTCCCAGGTCTTTTGGTGTTGCTGAACTCACCAGTGCATTCCTTCTTTTTGAGAATGTTTCAAACAGTTGTTTTGGCCACGCCTAATGTTCTTGCTATCTCTCTGATGGGTTTGTTTTGTTTCTTCAGCCTAATGATGGCTTGCTTCACTGATAGTGACAGCTCTTTGGATCTCATCTTGAGAGTTGACAGCAACAGATTCCAAATGCAAATAGCACACTTGAAATGAACTCTGGGCCTTTTATCTGCACATTGTAATTGGGGTAATGAGGGAATATCACACACCTGGCCATGGAACAGCTGAGAAGCCAATTGTCCCATTACTTTTGGTCCGTTAACAAGTGGGAGGCACATATACAAACTGCTGTAAGTCCTACACCGTTCACCTGAGTTGGATGTACATACCCTCAAATTAAAGCTGACAGTCTGCAGTTAACGCATATTGTGTTTGTTTCATTCCAACTCCATTGTGGTGGTGTATAGAGCCAAAGATGTTAGAATTGTGTTGATGTCCCAATATTTCTGGACCTGACTGTAACTCACAATGGTTTTCTTATTTTTGCAATTAAAAGGAGGAGAGGATTTGATAGAAGTAAAGATATAATCAGAAAAGACATAGTAAATTCATGTTTTTGTTTTTCTTATCTCACTTATAATAAATCCTGCAATACAGGAAAGAAGGCAATTTTGCTTTGACTTTATTTCTAGAAAATAGTTTATTAAAGTGAATTGCTTGCCCAGTCTGTAATCAATTATTTGATAAGCTCTTGAACTATTGCAAAATACTTATTTATCTTTATTTATTTTAGATTGTTTACAAAGCTGCCCAACTTGCTGTAATAATGCTGGGTAGCTTACATATGGCTAAAAGCATAAAAACAAAGAAATCAAAACCAAAATTCACAAATACTTGAAAGAAACAAGGGTGACTACTACAGTATTCACATTCAAATTATATGTGGACTAAGTTGTTTGACCAATTGAAAAAAATAAATGCCAATTTAACTATAAAGAAAGACAGAAAATGTTAGAAGTATAGTCAGACATATTTTGTATCTGCTCTACTAAGGCCCTGTAACAAAACTAATGTATTTTTAAATTTAAAGTATGTTTTATAATGTTGCTAATAATGTCAAATAAGTTTTTATATTTTAGGCTTTAAGAAAAATTTATTTTTGAAATATCAAATTTTTTTGTACATCAGTGAATTTCTGACAAATATACAGCATAATTGTTGCCTCAGTATAGCCTTCCCCATTTCATGCATTTCAGATGTGTTAGGATTAGAACTGTAGGCACATGGAATTGTCAATATAATCACCAGCTTGAGAAATTTATCAGGTAGGGATTTTCTTACTACATAAAGTTTTAAAAAAAACTTTCAAAAAAACCCCACCCCTTTTACTTATTTCTATATTTAAAAATGGTAGCTATTGGCTACTATTATAGGGACAGTAAAAAAGACCAAAATGTTTATGGTCTTTGTCAGAAAGACCTGTAAATATGGTAGTGACAAAAGATTAGACTGGCCCTTTGCCAGCTTTTTCCAAAGCAAAACTGTAGCAGCAAGGAGAAATAGATTTTACTGTAATTCGTTTCCTATAACATTTTTTTCTCATTTTCATACTTTGGATCTGATTTGTTGGCCACCATTGCATTTAAATTTGTAAAAGAAATAGTTTGAAAAATTAAGATTGCGACTGCAGACATATCAACATAGACTGTTTAATCTGTTTCTGTCTTGTGCTCATAGCAGCAGTGGTGGGATTCAGCCAGTTCGCACCACTTTGGAGAACTGGTTGTTAACTTTCTGAGCAGTTTGGCAAACTGGTTGTTGGAAGAAATCATTAGGGCAGAGACTGGTTGTTAAATTACTTGAATCCCACCACTGCATAGCAGTTTATTTAAACTGGTTTAAGAAAAAAAAACATGCTTGGACTGGTAACACTTTGGAAGTAGTTTGCAACATTCTGTTGACTTCCTGGCTATCATACCCCATTTAGCAGCTCACTTTTGGCAAAAACATTTTTGAAACTTACTATTTTTTCCTCTGTCTAATTTTATCTATCTAGTTGAGGATGTTTTTTTAGATGCAAGGTTCCATTATTTGATTTTCATTGTTACCTCAAATATATTGGTAAAAAAATGAAATAGTGGACTCTGCATTTTTTTTTAATTCCAGAAAAGACTTCAGATAGCTAGATGAAGGAAATATCAACATCTTCTTCTTGTGCCATACCAGTCATTGGATGTCGGCGATCATGTTGGTGATCCTATTTTTATCAGCAGCCGCATGAAAAAGTGCTGCTGAGTTTTGTCCAAACCAGTCCCTTAGATTTTGAATTATGTTCTTCTTCTGCCTGGACCTTGTTTGCCTTCAATCTTTCCTTGGAGGATTAAGTAAAGTATGCCGTATTTTTCCGGGTGTCACATCACATGTCCAAAATATTCTAACTTTAGCTTTTTAATGGTTTTGATGATTGCCCTTGGCTTTCCCAGATGGCTTATCACCTCCTCATTTCGGATTTTGTCAACCCAGCTTATACGTAACAGCTGTCTGTAAATCCACATTTCAAATGCTTCTGGTCTCTTCAAGTGGCTTTCTGTTAGAGACCAACTCTCTACTCCGTAGAGCAGGATAGAAAAGATCTGACAAGCCTCATTTTCAGTTTTAGGCTTATGTCATGACTGCAGAAGACCTTTTTCATTTTGAAGAATGCTGTTCGACATATCTGCTGAATTTTGGAACAACCTCTTAAATTTTATTTATTTATTTATTTTTATTGAAAAAGTTTTACAAATATCAATTTTTCCCCCATTTCCCCCCCATCCCTCCCTAACCCCCCCAAACCCTCCCCTCTTCCCATGACTTCCCCAAGGTGAAATCCATCCACCCACATTATATCATATCATACTTTACCACCCCTCTATTCTCCCCCCTGTGCACTATACATTTCTACATAACAATAAGCTATTTTGCCCCCTATAAACTATATATTTCTACACAACATTCAGCTAAAAGCTATCTGATACTTCCTAGTTTGATATTTATTCTGCACATAATCT